GGCTGCTCGAGCAGTTGCACGCGCTCGGCGGCGCCGCGCACCTCAGCGCTGCGCAGCTGCGCGATCGCGCGCGCAAGCTGGTCGCGCAGCGGCTGACCGAGCTTTTCTGCGCAGCGCCTTGCGAGGTGCGGCTGCAGTTCCGCCGCAGCACTGTGGTACTTTTCGCCGGGCTGCAAGGCTCTGGCAAAACGACGTCCGTCGCGAAAATTGCGCTCTACTGCAAGAAGCTCGGCTTCTCGGTCGGCGTGATCTGCTGCGACACGTTCCGCGCAGGCGCCTTCGAACAGTTGCGCGCGAACTGCAAGGCCGCGCGTGTTGAGTTCTTCGGCTCGCAGACGCTGCTGGACCCCGTCGACGTGGTGCAGAAAGGACTGCACGCGTTCCGCACTGCGAACAAGGAAGTAATTCTGATCGACACGAGCGGGCGGCACAAACAGAGCGAGAGCCTGTTCCGCGAACTGAAGCGCATCGAGTATGCGGCCGCGCCGAACTACATCACGCTGGTGGTCGACGGCTTCGCGGGACAGAGCTGCTTTGAGCAGGCGAAGGCTTTCGCGGACGCGTTCCAGTTGTCGAACATTGTAGTGACCAAGCTCGACGACGGACTGCGGAGCGGTGCGGCGCTCTCGGCGGTCGCGGCAGCGCGGCGACCGGTCTGGTTCGTCGGCACCGGCGAGCAGCTCAGTGACCTGCAGCTGTTCGAGCCTGCGCGTTTTCTGCAGTTGCTGCTGCGGCCCGAGGCGTGTGCGCGCGACCCGTCGCCGCTCGCGCCGTTGATCGAGAGCCGACGCTACTGCGCGGCGGAAGACGACGCGCTAAGTTATCTCTCGCTGCGCAAGCTGCTCTGCCAGATGGCCGAGCTCGACGTACTGAGCCTGCTCGGCAAGCTGCAGCTCGGCGCGCCGGCGGACGCCGCGCAGTCGCGCGCTGAGCTCGACGTGCTGAAAAGCGCGCTGTACCGCTTGATCTCCGTGATCGACTCGTTGCCCGCGCGGCTGAAGACCGGCGCCGCACCGCTCGAGAGCCCCGCGTTGCAGGCTAAACTCGCGCGCGGCTCCGGGACCAGCACACGCGACGTCGAGACGCTCTCTCGCTTTCTGCAGGCGCTGGCGAAGGCGCAGCGCGGCGCGGGCAAGCTCAAGAAGAAGGGCGCGCGGACGGTCGCTGCGACGTCGGCGCTGCGCAACTTATCCGCGCTCGGCGCGCTCGCGAACGCGCCGGGGCTCGATACGCTCAAGAACTTGCCGAACCTCGACGCACTCGGCAGCGGAGGACTCGAGGCCGTCATGGGACAGCTGCTTCGGAACTTCAACGGCGCGCAGCTCTTCGCGCCGTGACGCGCAATTTAGCCGTATTTTTTTCGACACGCCGCGCCGCTCCCGACGCGCGCCCGCCTTCTCCGCTTTCCGCGCCGTGCATGCTGTCGCGCGGCGACGGCTGGGTGACCAGCCGCGCGTTCGCCGCGGACGCCGCTCCGTCGCTCGACCTCGCGAAGCTGCTAAAGCTCGTTGCGCGCGCAGACCGTCGTGTCGGTGCGCTCAGCCGCCTCTGCGCCGGTAGGTTTCTTGCGCACCGCGCTAGAGTTTGAAGCCGCGCTGCGCCCGCTCGCACTGGGCTTTGGCGCACGCGTCGCCGTGCTCAAGGCGATCCGCCTGCTGCACGGCGCCGCTGTCAAGCTCGCGCTGCTCCACGCCTTTGTCCTCTCGAAAGGCGTCGCCGAAGACGCGGGCACTGCCGGCAAGAGCGCGCTGCAGAGCCTTTCGCTCGTACTCTCTGTTCTGCGCGACGTCTCCACGCGCCGCGACGCGGGCGTCGAGACCTGTCGCCTCGTTAGCGTCTGTTTGCGCGTCGACGAAACGCACGCCGACTTGCTCGCACTGCCGCAGCCGCAGCTGCTCTTTTTCGAAACGCTCGCCAACGTCTTCGCACACTTCGACTTCCTCGGACCCTGGACGCTCGACTTGCTTCGCCTTTTCGACAAACACGCCAGTTTTGTGCGAGTCGGCGCTGCCTCGGCGCTCGCCCGACTGCTCGCGCGGCGCTTGGAAATCGCCTGCCCGAAACTGCGCTTCCACTACTGTTTCGCGCTCGCCAGCCTCTGCCCCGGTGCGGCCGCCGCAGTCAGCGGCCAAGCGCAGTTCCGTCGCGCCTGCTGCGCCGCAGTATTGCGCAGCTTAACCGCGCTCTGCGCCGCTCCCAACAGTGCACGCGGCCTCTTCCTCACCGTGTGCGAAAATTTAGAAACCGTGCTCTTCCGCCTCGCTGCGGTGCTTCGGCACGCGAAGCACTTCGCTAAAAAGGTCTTCTGCGAGTTCGCTCACCGTTGCGTAGCGCCCGCGGCCGCAGGTCGCGGGCGCAAACTCAACACGGTCTGGCTCGAAGACTCGCTGCTCTGCGCCACTGCGCTCTTTCTCGTCCAACGTTCGCGCGACCCCTTCGCACTCGCCCGCTCCGCTGAGCGCTGCGCACGCTGCTTCGACATGCCGCACGCAGAACGCCGGTTCACTGCGCGCGCTCCACTCGCCGCCGTGCTCGCGGACGGCGACGCGCTCGGCTGCTGCGTCATGGTCTCAGGCGCGCTGTCCAGCCGACTGTTCGACAGCGTCTGCGACAGCCTCGCGCACTCCTCCGACAAAAACTTCAAAGACTTTCTGGGAGCCGTGCGAAACGTCGCCCTCGCCATCCGCGACTGCAACAGTTTCGGCAATCAGCTCCGGCGCCACTTTTTTGACGCGGAGGCGCCACGCTCCACTCCGCGCGGTTCCCAGAATTCATCGCCACAGCAGCAGTCGTACAGCGGCGCAGGTCCCGATGCAGCACCGCCCAAGCACACCGCCCCGCTGCTCGTCCCGCGCGGCGCGCCTGACACACTCGCCGCGCGTTTGGCGGCTGCAGCATCCAGTACTGTCGTAGCAATCACGCAGGACAGCTTCCAAGATAACCATCTAGTTTTCAGTCTGAGCAGCGCTTCGGAATACCAGCTCTCGCACGTATTCATCGACTGGCTCAACCGCAACTCGTCGCCGCGTGACTCCGTTTCGCTGCGCCTCTGCGCTGCCGTCGCGAACGAGCATGCACCCGACTGTCGCGCTGCGCTACCCGTTCTACTGGCCACCTTCGATAGTCTCGTCGCCGACTCGCTCGCGCCACAGTTTGTTTTGCACGAGGCTTTTGAACAGCAGTCTTGCGAAATAAGTTTTTGGCTGTCCAAGTGCGACGCGCACTGGCTCACGCTGCTCTTTTACGCCGTTGCTGACTGCGCAAAACCATGCGAGCCACTCGACTTACGGCCCAGTTCGCTGCTTATCTGGAAGAGCTTCGCTAGTTCCGCGCGCACCGCGCGAACGAGTCCTGCCTCGACTAGCCCGATTGTTTCGACTGCATCCAAAATACCGCAGTCTTTGAACCGAAGCGTAGCGCGCGGCTCTCTGGCTCGCGTCGCTCGCTTTGCGATATCGCTTGTTTCCCATGCGCAGGACGTGCTGCTGCAAGTGCAGAACGCAAAGGCGCGCGATCTGCGACTCTCGGCTGCACAGCCGACCTTCGCACTCGTCATCAATAATGCAGTCCACTGCACACAGCTATTTGCTCTGAGCCTGATTAGCGCTCTCAGTTGCTTAGATTCACTGCAGCAGACGAGCTTGTCGAACGCAGGACGCAACTCCGCTTCCGCCACGACCGAGTTATTTCCAGACGCATTGTCCGATTCAAGTGAAGCTGACGCCATTTTCGACTTTGCCTTGCAGCTGCTTTGCGTTGATCTTGGTGAGCGGCTGCAGGATGCGTTTTGCAAACTCGGATTCTGCGCTGATGCGAGCCGCGACTTCAACAGAGACGCGAACGGCGGCGCGAACGGCGGCGCGAACGGCGGCGCGAACGGCGGCGCAAACGGCAAAGCGAACAAGCACGCGAACAGCGGCACAATCGGCGACATAAATGGCGACGCGAACGACGACGCGAACGGCGACGCGAACGGCGACGCGAACGGCGACGCGAACGGCGACGCGAACAAGCGCGCTTCGTCGCGGTCCTTGTCGCTGTCGCGCAGCTCGGCCTTCGATTGCGCTTTCCAACACCCCGTCACTGCTCTCTCGGCTGGCGACGCGGCTGCGCTTCCGACGAGCGACGCTGCACTCCGCGCTGCGCTGTTCCGCGTAGGGAAGCGAGCAGCAGAGGTCGCTTTGCTTGTCACCGTCGACCCGCGTCTGGCTGACGTGAGCTTCGCTTCGCTGCTCGCCGAAAACGTGCCTTTAACCGAGGTGTTGTTTTCGCTGTTTCTGCGTTTGGCGCGGATACGCGGAGCGCAGCTCTGTACCCGCGTTGCACAGAACCCGCGCTACGACCGTATTGTCGCGGAATTCGCATACGAAAGTGAACCCGACTTGCTGTGCTACGTGACCGACGACCTGGCCTACTTCTTTGAAACGGTTCAAAGCCGAACCGCCGCCGCCGCGTTCACACTGCGCGACTTCACCGTTCTTTACCTGTGCAGTTTGCGCATTTCTTTCGCGGAAAAACTCGATGCGCTCCAAGACTTGCGCGCCGAACCCGAATTCTTTAGCGTCACTACAAAAGCCGTTTTCGACGAACTCGGTGCGGCCGCTGCGCAGAGCGCCGGCCGGGCAAGCGCCGCACCCGAGCCAAACTTTGACGACTTGCTGGCTGATTTTGAGACTGAAGTGGAGGCGCTCTGGAAGCGTGCGTCGCTCAGCTGCGCAGTGACTCCGAGTCCGCTCGAGTTACAACTGCAGCACTTGAGCGAGCGCATCTCCGACGCGCTCGCGACTATGCTGCGCAACAATCTCTGTCTGGCAACGACTGTGTCGGTACGGAGCTTCCGCTTCCGCTTTGACAAGGAGCGCCGCAAAGCGGTACATGAGCTCGCTGCGCTCGACTGCGTCTTCGACCTTGTGCGGGGCGTCGCGATGTGCACCAAGCAGCTCGGGCTTTCCACGGCGCAGGCAGCGTCAGTTGCGAGCGCCGCAACTGCAAGTGACTGCGACAGCGGTCGCGCGAGCGCTGCGCAAGATGTTTGGCTCGTCAGCGTCGATGCATCTGCAGCGCAGACGCCGCGCGCTAAACGCTTTTGCACACGGTCGGGGCTCGAGTCTTCGTTGATGGACGTCGGCGCGCAAACATGGGACGAGTTGCTGGCGGTGCGCGGCGTGCCGTGCTCGGACGCGCAGCCACCCGCTCCGCAAGGACACAGCACGGCTTGCATGTCGAATGCGGCGCTGACGCGCGTTGCGACTGCTTGCGCAGAAAATGTGGAGCGCATCGTCGAGTTTTTGCTCGGTTCGCAGTTCGTCTTGGTGGCGCTAATCAGCACCGACGAATACCGCTCGATGCGCAAGAAGCTAAAGAACTTCAGCGCCTCGCAAAGCAAGCAAATCCCGAAAGACACGCAGCTGCTGATCTCGGAGATTAATCACAACCTGAATCTGCTGCGCCACCTAGCGCAGCGCATTTTCGCGTACATCGTCGAGTTCTTCCAGCTGACGGAAGACTTTGGGCTGCAACGGCGGGAGAGCGCCGTTTCGATGGCGTTCAACTTCAGTTACCTGCTTACCGAGCACTGCGCTTTGCTCTCGCAGCGCGGCGCGCGCGCCGCTGCCGCCGATGCGTTTCCCGTGGCGCTCATCCGCCAGCTCGCCCGCTACGCAGACGTCATCTTCGACTCACTGACAGAAAAAAACGAAGACTTGTTGCTG